AGCCAATATGTATTAATTATATAGAATATTTTGTTTTTTTTAGGTTTAATTTAAAAAAAAATAATAATGTATTGAATATTTTTTATAGACAGAAAAAAAGTGATGATGGATTAATGAAAATTGTAGAATAAATATTTGGTTTTCAGTCAATGAATACTTAAAATTATATATGGATATCTAATGTATCTATATAATAAATAGATTATTTAATAAATCAAATTTACTAATTGGATCAAAACCAAAAATCACAATACAAATTTAAATAATTTCAGCTCTTTTCTCTAAATTTGAAACTGAATATATATTTTATTATAAAAGTAGATTAAAATCTATAATGTTAGTAAAACTTTGTTAAATTGTTTAACGAATTGAATTATTTGTAGATTTCTAAATTAAGGTGATTAAATTTTGTTTTTGGTAAACGATGATTTGTTACAAGTCTTTGTTGTTTGTTATATAACCATAAGTATATAATGAGCCAATATGTATTAATTATATAGAATATTTTGTTTTTTTTAGGTTTAATTTAAAAAAAAAATAATAATGTATTGAATATTTTTTATAGACAGAAAAAAAGTGATGATGATTAATGAAAATTGTAGAATAATATTTGGATTTTAGTCAATGAATACTTAAAATTATATAATTAATGTATTATATAATAAACAGATTATTTAATAAATCAAATTTACTAATTGGATCAAAAAGAAAGATTAGAAAAAATAATCACGATACAAATCTACATAATTTCGTCTCTTTTCTCTAAATTTTAAACTAAATATATATTTTATTATAAAAGTTGATTACCGCATCTTCTAATAAAATCTATAATGTTAGTAAAACTTTGTTAAATTGTTTAACGAATTGAATTATTTTTAGATTCCTAAATTAAGGTGATTCAATTTTGTTTTTGGTAAACGATGATTTGTTACAAGTCTTTGTTGTTTGTTATATAACCATAAGTATATAATGAGTTAATATGTATTAATTATATAGAATATTTTGTTTTTTTATTGTTGTTGTTTTTTAAGTGGGGGAGGTATAACGATGGTCATTACGTGAATCCCTGAAGGGGAAACTGTTCGTCGTCAGATCCAGATACGGGCTGAATGTATGCTATTTGGATGTATCAATTATTGATCTTTTTTTTCTGTTCTGCAGGTTTGTTATTGTTGTCTGAATGGATATAACGATGTTCATTAAGTGCATTTCTGAGAGGGGGACTTCTCGTCGTTGTCGTCGTTCTCAACGTCGTCATCGTCGTCGTAGCCGACGTCTAGAGAAGAGAGGGTGGAAGGGGGTTGGTTTTTGTTGGCGAGGGAGCAGGCAGCACCTGTTCTGCCATTGGGGGGAACAAAGCGATCCGGCTACGAGCCAATGGAGGCGCTCGGTTTCTCTATATTAACGTTACGTGGCTTTTTGTTCGGTGTTTTGTCATTTTGTGTCTAGAACTTTGTCTCTGTGTGTGCATATGTATATGTATATATATACACTTACATATATAAATGTATACGTGTGTGAGTGGATGGATGGAGAGAGAGGGCCTCCTGCTTCATTGTGTCTGCCTTCTGGAGCGCGATAAGAATTAATTACGAGCCGCGATGGCGGATTTGTTCACCCGCTGATTCCCATTTTCCCATCTCAAAGATAATTTAATGCTTTTTCCCTTTTGACGCTGCTACCAACACAACAAACGCCACCGTAGAGCCGCCAACCTTTTTATTTTATTTGAACAACAATCCACGTCCAACTTTTGACGTTCCTCTCTTAACAATGACAGTTCTTTGTATCTCTTTCGCTAGCTACGCCATTTTCGTTCATAATTCCTCTTTACCAAAAGACTTTTGTTTATAATAAACCAATAGTAACTATAAACTTTTAAACAATTTAAATTTATGTATTCTTGTAATCAAACGAAGAAATTCAACTTCCTAAGATGTCACAAAAATTGACATAAAACTGCGAGAATAGATCATAGGTTACAAAATCGAGAAGATTGGGCAATGTTAAAACAGAACAAAAACAATATGATTCTCATGAAAACCATCCATCTTTTAGTTTACATTAACCTATACCAATTTAACCATCTAAGCTATAGATTCATTTTGTTGTCTTTGTAAGATACATTACTGTAATACATAATATTTCTTATTTTCCGGCTTTGCAAAACGTGACAAATCTTTAATTAATGTGAAAATTATTATTTCATATTTTAATTCAAAATTAATACAGTTTAACACAAGATTAATGCAAGATTAGCTAGTTACTACTAAAATCCAGATGACTAAAAAAATTAACATATAACTTTCTAAAACTTTGTAACAATACAAATTTGTACTTCAATTTAGTAATCATATTAAATTATCTTGATCGCTTGTACATTATTTCTATATTCATTTATATCTTAGTTCAAAATTAGTAAAGTTGATTAAATTTTCTAGAATTCTTGAACATTATTTATTTATTCATTATTCTTAGTTCAAAATTTGTAGAAATTTGTAGAGTTAGTACAATATTGGAAAGTAAATTTTCTGTATTTTGTATGAAATATAATACATCATTTATTCAAGTTGGTTAAAGAGCGTAAGATCATCAAGTATGTATTACCAAAATCCAGAAGACTAAAAGTTTTGGTATAAAATTTTGTAAGAATATTTCATCAAATGTAGGAAAAATATTTTTAGATTTTTTCCATAATTTCTTCAAAAAAAGAATACATATTATATATAATTGTTATTAATGAATTCAAGTATTAATTACCAAAATCCAGAAGATTATAGGTTGGATATTTGTACAAAGATTTGATCAGAAATAAGAAAAATATTAATATAATACGATGATTTTAATTTAGAAATGTATTCATTCAAAAACTCACTTTTATTAATGAATGCAAGATCATCAAGTATAAACTATCAAAATCAAGAAGACTAAAAGTTTCGACTTGCAACTTTTGAACATTCGATTATGAATAAGAAAAAAAATTTCTTATAAAATAATTGCACGGTATTAAAATACTGATTTCAATTTCATAATAAATATCTTCATCTTTTATACATTATTATTTAATACAGAATATAATCAAAATTGCTTGAAATATGTAATTGTAGATAGCTTACCAAGTCTCTTGGAGATTTCTGAGTTGTGCATCTTAGGATTCTCCTGAGCGATTTTTCGTCTCTGCAGTCTCGACCAAACCATGAACGCATTCATGGGTCTTTTGATATGATCCTCTTGTTTCTTTGCCATCCCTTGAGGAACGGACATCCCTTGGGGCATCCCGATACCGGCTCCACCCAGTGAAGCCATCCTCGAGAGCCCCTCGGCTGCACTGAAACCTCCGTCGCCCATCGTCGACCTACAAACAATAATATTAACAATTAAATCATAAAAATACATTATTCATTAAATAAGTTAAGCTTTTTGTAATAAATTATAGATTTTTTTTATCTTTATTAACAAATAGAGATATTTGCATTTTTGTCTGTTATTTAATCGACCTAATTTGAATAGACGATCAACAATTATTTGATGGATAATTTTGCAGTCGAATCACCATAAATCACGTCGAGCGTAAATCGTAAATTATGTACAACAAATATTAACAATCTCCACGTTCATTGTCGAATTTGAATCGTTCGCTATTGAATTCCTTGCGTAATAACGCAAACGCATTGTCTGCAACGGATTATAAAAGACGAATGAAAAAAAAATTACATATACACATGAGAGGATCAATATTGAATTCCCTCTAATTGCCACGTCAATCATAGTGGGTTTTTTATATGGCGTAATTCTGTAATTAGGTAAAAAAAAAACACAGTTTGTTTCCATTGTATAAACATGACAAAATAGTTTCTAAATTATCTAATTACAATAGAATATGATTGCTTTCCTATTGAAGATCAATTATTGATTATAAAATGATCACTGATATTTGTAGTTTTTTTAGTGTCTATATCGCAAGCCCGACAACCGAAAGACCGTCTATTGAAATCCCGACGTTCGAAATTCCGTCTGTATCAAAATCCTGACTATTAAAATCCCGACTACGTCAAAATCCCGACTACCATAATCCCGATGTCTGAAATCCCAACTATATCGAAATTCCGACTATGTCAAAATCCCGACTATATCGAAATCCCGACTACCATATAAATGTTATTGTAGAAATTTATAATAAAAGAAACTGTCGGGATTTCGATATAGTCGGGATTTTGATTGTCGGGATTATGATAGTCGGGATTTCGATACACTCGGGATAGACGGGATTTCGGTTGTCGGGCTTGCGATTGCCACCGGTTTTTTTATTATTGATTTATAAAAAAAGTTAAAGAAATGCGATTGGTCAAACATAGTTTCCAAATTATCAAATTACAATTGTATTATTTTGTAATTATTGGTTTTCTATAGAACCTATTTTTATGTAATTTACTATAGCTTTCTTTAAGTAATTATAAAATATACAATATACAACATGTACTTTTTTTTGTTATTGTCGGTTTAAAGAAATTATATAATTGAAAAAAACATGTCGAGAACAACTAAAGAAATACCATTAATTTGCATTGTACAAGAATGTCAAAATAGTTTCTAAATTATCTATTGAAAATTAAATATTTGTTATAAAATGATATCCAATTAATGCATATTGTAATATTTTGTATTCTTTTGTAACATACATTTACTTTTCCATTTTCAATCTGTAATTTTTTTATTGTTCATATCGATTTATAAAAAATTGTTACATCACTATTGTAATCAAATTATTAAAGTAATTTAACAAATAATGGAATGTTTTGGTAAGTCTATAATAATATGAAAATAAAAGCAATGGAATCAACAAATTGTTGATGAACTAAACGTAATGTTCAAACATTATCTTTAGACTTTCTAAATACACACACACATTTGAAATGATTAAAGCAAATATTCTCAGTTCTATTTTCGTATCACTACAAACCTATATGTAATGATAAAATTTGTTCAATTCCCTTAAAACGTAAGTACTGCAAATTGGTCAGAGTGACCCCCCAGATATTTTAAGATTTTCTAGAGCACTTTTCGGGTCAAAATGACCCAAATACGTTTTTTAAATATACCAAAACTGGGAATATCAGCAATTATGATATCCATTTTGCATTACACTAATAGTGTGAATGAAAAAAACAAAAAAAAACACTGATATTATATAATTATATGAGACTAAAGTAGGATGTTCAAAAAATTAATGATTTGTTCTTTTTCAATATTTTATATTGGGTCAAAATGACCTAATAGTTCTTATATTTCATTTATGTGTCTGTAGTTAATAAAACTGTTAACTGTTCTTCTTAATTTTGATAAAAGTATCAAATGCTAAAACACAACAGGAATCTTATAGTAAGTTGACAAATATTAACAATTTTGTTTAAAAAAATGTAAGTTATAAAAGTATTACAATGATTATAGTAAAAGTTATTGTATTAATATTAGTTATTAGTATTAATTATAATAGTTTTTTGTAGACTTTTACAGACTGAAGTTGTTGCTTCGTGAGGTTAATGATAGATTAGAAAAAAACGCTGACCCAACAGCGTTGAAGCCGTTTCATCGTGATAATTGAATGGAATTTGTTTGTTGTAATTGTAAGACAATAATTGCTGGTGTTTAAAAGGCTTTGTGAAGATTCCGTACTAAAACTCGCATCATCGAGTGGTGATCTTTTTTTTTTTGGAGCCTTTCTTCTCCGAACGTGCTTGAAAATAATTATGACTGCGATGATAATGAAGTGATTAGAGGCTTCTGCTGCTGCTGTTGCTGTTGCTACTAGCTAGTACAACACCTCATCTCCGTAGTTGAGAGGAGATAATTGAGCCGTGAGCGCCGCGATTTCAGATTACATCACAGCTGTTCTCATCTCGCTTCCACCGATCGTCCTCTTCATCCTCTTTCCATCCATGTTTGTTCTTGTAATCATGGGACTCGTTTGCTTTTCGTCAACAACTCGCGCGAACGCAACTCATTATTTTATTTATTTATTTTTTTTTGTGGCCTCAGGAAAAGTGTCAATAAATTTATCCAATTAGTTATCGAGTTTGAGTTGAAACATTTATTTATTCTAACAAATGCGTTGGAAAAGAGAGTTGGAAAATGTAGATGGGTTTGAAACGAGACCAGATCATTAAGATCTGCTAGATGTGATATTTACGATCGAGCGAAAACCGGAATTAGTGCCAACAAGAAAATATTTGCTGCGCGAAGAACGAGAGAGCTAAGAGGATTATGTTTATTATTACGTGAATGAATCCAACAGGACGGATTAAAGTTCGCTTTAAATTAAACAACGTCCACGCGCGGCCACCAATCATCAATAATTAAATGAACTGCTGCAACACAGATTTATTTTACAACAACTACAATCATTATTTTTGTAAACTCTCAAATTTTGATCAATGTTAACTTTAATTTATTAGAAATAACTTAGAAATAATAGATTGAAACTTCTTAAGGAAAACATAAATTATTGATTATACAAAATATTATTTCATTGTAAAATTGATTTAAGACCTGAAACTTTTTCGAATTCAACCAATTTAAATCGTTTTTATCTATAATTTATTAATTTTTAACTTCTAAATAATGGATTGAAACTTTTTAAGAAAAAAAATGTAATATTATTGATTATAAAAAAAGTTCAATTATAAAACTGAGTTTAATTTTACAACAAAAAAAATCGCCTAAATTTTAACTCCAATTACTTCTTCGTATCTATGCAATTAGAATCATCAAATCATTAAAATCAACTTTATTCAAATTATCGAAATTTTTCTATTCAAACTTATTTTCTAAATTTTTAATTAAAAGTTACCAATTTGATTTCAAATATGCTTGTTTTGTTATATTTTATAGAAAATTGGTAACTTTTAATTGAAATAATAGAAGAAAATTAAATTTGATTTTATCCCTATTTTTAATAAAGATTCAAATCATTTCTACATACTTTCTATTTCGTAAATAAGTTCTAAATAAACGCACGTGTCTGATAAATAATATTTCAGTAAATAACTTGTGTTATTCACTTTTTTTTTCTTGTAATTTAAAGACAGGAAAGGTTGAATACATAAAAATGTCTTAATAATATGCATGTAGGCTGTAATACTGTAATAACTTAGATGATTTCATATTGATTCCTGTCTATTTTCTCTTTGTTCGATTTATCAAAACATTTGTATTTAAGACATAAATTGACAATTTAAAGGTAAGTTTACTCAATATTTAAAATTTATAAGACATTACTTACGCATTTTATTTGGAAAAAAAAACGTTACATAATCACATAATATTTTTATTTTATGAATAAAAAATTGACTTTAAATCACTAATAATAATTTTCAATTAATCTTTAAATTTTAAGTTTCAAATTATAAAAAGATATTGAATGGAACTTCGCTATTAGCTTTCATTTTCTAATAAATACATTAATAGCTCGCATAGTGCGGCTTCAATCAATCCGGATTCACCGGAGTTTGAAAATTTCATTACATAGTAAATTTTAAATAAAAATTAGTTACGTTTCTTTTGGTGTTGTTTTTGTATGTACTTTCTCGATTAGTCCGGTTTCAAATAGAACAAAAATATAGTTCTATTACATTTAATTCAATCATTAAAGTACTAATAATATGTTAAGATTTCATAAATAATAAAGATATTACTAAAAATAATAAATCTTTCTGTTTTAATGCAATACATTTAAAATTTTATTGAAGCTAAGTAGAAATAATGGTCATTAGTTGTTTTTTTTTGTCATTTATATTAGTAACCGATAAATGTGTTTATTAACGTTGGTCGACTCGACTCACAATTTGCATAAGCTATAAATTTTGTTATTTTTTTCAATTACATTTTTTACTATTATTTATTAACAACATTTACATATCAAGTGTAAAAATAGATTTGCAATTGAAACGCTTGGTTAATCCAATCAATGTTTCTAACGTATTTGTTTCCTTTATGAGATGTACGAGTAAATTATTAATGTAGTACTAAAATTAACGTTAATTGGAGGGCTAAAGGTGATAGACTATTTAAATTATATTGGATTTACTATAAAAACTGAAAAGTTAATTTGATTACTTTAAGCTAATTAACACGCCAATTAATTTATATTAGTGTAAACCAGAGTTCGGCAACCTTTTTGGAGTAGAAGAAATTTCCTGTTTGGAAAAACCTTAACGAGTTAAATTCGTTCCAAAATTTCCGAATATTTACTAGTATAGTGGAACATATTCAAAAATACATATAATAAGTGTACACAAGTTTTAAAAATGAGGTAGAAATCCCACAATCCGGGAATTCTCTTCTCATTGTCACTCGTTATGCGAAACGTCGCACGTTAAGCGAGTAATTTCACAATTCATTTTACTCGTTAAGCAAAGTTCCACTGTATATATTTTTAGCTAAACCAAATTAGTCTTTGATACTTGACAAGTTAATAAAAGTAATACGTAGTTAAAAAAAAGACTGAACTAATTAAACTTACAAACCTCTTGTATAAAAAAAATCCATATTAATTAAAAACCCGAAATTCATTTTAATTATTAAATTAACGTAAAAAAAATTGATTAATTGCTTAATTAAATACGATGCAATTTTGCTGCTGCGTTTTTTTCTCCTTCGATTTTATCCGGCAATAAACATGTCAAATCTCAAATGACGTGTGAAACGTATATTTATTTTTATTTGTACGTGTTCGGGCCTTTTTTTTTTATTTCAGTCAGTGCGGTTTTTTGTTTATTAATAAATTAAACAATGCGACGCTAACCGCTTGTAATAACAACTGTTGTATTTACATTTCACTGCAAATTGATGCACGCTTTAATTTTTTTGCATCAAATGTATTTTTATGTTCGAATTTTTTAAATGTCAGCGTTGAAATATACACATTTTTTTTGATTTATTTTTGTTTTACTTTAATGATAATAATTTTTTTATTAAATTATTATTTATATAATAGATATATTTATAATAATTGTTAATTTTTATTACATATGGATATAAAATATTTACTATATTAGTAGGTAATTAGTAAGTATTAATTATAAATCTGTTTGTGCTTTATAAATTTTTTGGAAATGTATGCAATTTTAATATGTTTTTCTTTTTTTTAGCAAAATTATATAAACTTTTCTTTCAATCATTATCGTTAGGAACGTCGATTATTATTAACAAAAAAATGTTTTTATCAGAAAGAATTTTGTAAATGTTATGTTATGTAAGAAACTACAAAAAAAACATACATTTCTTTGAATGAAACCGTTACAGATCGACTTAATATCGTTTTTCTTTTTAAATAACTCAATTAGCTTACTAAAACAAATCCAAACTTTCGCGTATCTAATCTTAATTTCTAATTAGAAATTGACATTATTATGTTTGAAATTGTTCTTTTGTTAATTAGTCGTTTGAGTTTCACATTTTCTTTATAAAATTTATCCACGACACAAGTTCTTAACTTTTATAAAAGATTAGCTGTAAACTAATTATAAATTTGTTAAATAATAATTAAATATTGCATTTTTTATAAGTTAATTAAATTTTGATAATTATGCATTTAATCAATTTGAGTTTATTAAAATAAATTCAGTTAATTAATCTTTTTCAATTTTGTTTAATTTATTTATAATACATATTAATTTGCAATCAATTTAATATAGATTTAGAAGTAATTGAATTTACTAAATAATTAATATATAAAATTTGTATTTTCTTACATTATTTATCTTTTTTATCTTTTATAATTATAATAAACAGTTTAAGTAATTTATATAAAAAAAATGTTTGCTAATTAAATTTTGAGCTTAGTTCAAATTATGTATAACTTTTGTATCAGGAATTTTATGATTAGGTAATAATATTAATTAATTACTATATCACTTCAATATCAATTTAATACATATTAACTAATAATTAGCAATTCTTATACAAATTATGAATGAAAAATTAATATTAATAGGTAGTTTTTATTGAATAAATATGTAAATTTTAATTAAAATTACAAATTTGTTGAATTTACTTTAATTGTATTTCTTTAATATTCTTCATGTAATTTCATAAATATATTTGTTTTTATGTATAGAAACAATGTTACATTACTGAAATGTTAAACTAAATTATGTAATAAATAAATTAGATTATAAATTCAATATGTATATTTCTTCGTCATTAATTAAGTATGTGTTATTCTACTAGAATGGAATTGTGCAAATGTGTAAAAAATTTGCATTTCCCGCGTTAATTAAGTCTTTAGGCGTATGAATAATGCGTGGGGCATAAATCGCCGAATAATAAATGGGAAAACGACTCCATTAAACGTCAAATAATTCACGCCGTTTAATGGAGTCATCGAGAGCATTACGAAAAAAAAAACATAGAAGCAGAAAACCTGAGCGACGGAATCCGTCCGGTTGCATAAGCGTTACGTAATTTCGTGAATGGGCGAGTTCGAGTGGTCCGAGAAAAAAAAAAGGGGGAAACACCCCCGTTGCGGCGGTCTGAAAACACACACACACACACACTTGGATCCCCGGTCATTAAACAGCCCTAAATCTCGGGGGTCCGACGTGTCCGGGCGTTAATAACCCGCCCCCCTTGTAAAAGAAAATTTAATTAAAAGCCCTCGAATTTGTTCGAACCGTCGCTCTCTCTCTTTTCATCTTATATTAATTAATTGGGGGTTGGTTGATCTCATACCTAATGAAGTGGCCGTTGGTGGCCTGCCGATGTAGATCCAGATCAATTTTGAGGCCGTTTATTTACCACCGCACAGTAAAAAATCAAAGGACGAACGAAAAGAAACACTTAAAATAAATATTGTCAAGTAACTCGATCCCACTCGCGCGCACTGTTCTTGTTCCTCAATTCTGAATCGGTAAATCTTTCGCCCTGTATCGGCGATTGATTGCAGGTGAGACCCCCTGCGAGGGTGCGACCGGAAGGGTAAAAAAGAGCGTGCAAATAAAAATAATAACGTTGATGATGATGATCACGTTTCGCAAACGCTTCTTGCTTCTCAAATGTAAAATAATGTATAATGTGTGTATATGTGTTCACGATATAAAAGCGGAGGACTTTGTGTGTGTTTCGCAGGACCTCGAGGCAGAGGTCCTGGCCGGTTCTAGATACGCATGCGCGTCGTTGACCAATCGCGTCCTCCGATGGGCGGAGTCGCTCACCATTATTCCGATACGTTACGGTTCGAATGTCTCCTTCGCTCCGCCCACAAATTGTTATGTTAATTTTTTGTCTCTCCTTCTTTTGTACAGGTGTTTTTGAATCGAACGTTTTTCCCTTTTATATGCAGCAACACTTTTTGCTCCTCAACGCGCGAATATGTGTGTGTGTGTATATATATAAAGGGGAGGACAATTCCCCCCTATTTCCAACAATGAACGGTCGACTGTCCCCCCAAAACGGTCGCCATTCAACACCCCCCAGGCCGCGCCGCCACTGTGTGCGGACTCCGGCTATATGCAGGAAACCGAATATGCGATAATTTTCACACAAAATCACAATGGACTTGCACTATTATTACCATTACGTAATTCCTGCCGAAATGGTGGGAAGAAACGAAACAGAGACAGAATGGTGGAGAGAAAGAGAAGAGAATGGTGAATGTAGAAAAAAATAGAATAACCTAAACGAAAATTCAATTTGGCGTTTCGCTTCTCTTCTTTCGTTATATATTCCCGGCTAAAGCGCGTTAACCTTTTCAATTCTTTCATCCCGTTTTAATACTTTACACATCGATGATTTCCAATTTTAATTCAAAATGCACCGAGATTGCATTGCATTACAATAGACTTACATTTTGTTAAATAATACAACTATTACAGATTTGTTCACCATTCACTAAACATTCGTATGAAATTATAAAATATTAAAGAAAATTTCTGAGTTTTGTAAATTATTTGTTTTATGATAAAAACGCGATCAATTGTCAATTATACAATAAAATGTACGTATTTTTAATTAACGACACTGCAATCATAATGCAAGTATTAAAGAATTGGTTTCGTTTAAGAAAACAGTCACTAAATATTAGATATTATGTAGGTGCGTATTATATACGAGTAATTTCAAATATTAAAGAAAAAATTATATCTTTTAATTTGGATTTTTCTAATAAACAGTTTTTGTTCTAATATAGCTTACTATTATTTAATACCAAATTGGAAAAGTCACCCATTTCTCGCTTAACTATCGTAAATGTTTTGCCATATGTCAATAGAAGGATACTATACGTTTTTTTTAGTTGCAAAACATATGCTTTTGAAGTATTTTTCCAAATTAAATTGTAGCATTGACCAAAATTTATATATTTAATAAAATTCACTTATTTTTAATAAGACAATACATAGGACGCAAAATGAAAAAAAAAATGATTTTTTTTTTTGAAAATTTAAATTATCATTTATTAAATTTGATTACTTAATAATAATTTTTTTTATCACAATATCAAAATATTTCACATGAACATCAATATTGAAAATAACATATTTTTGTGTATACAAATATAATAAGCAGCAACATTTAAACTTGTTCTAAAAGAAATCTAAAAGTTAAACAATGGATTGGTGACTTTTTCAATTTAATGGTCAATTTAAATGGAAATTATTTATTGGAATAATCAAAATAAAAATACTTTGTAAACTCATATTTTTAAACCCATAAATTATTCCTGCATATTTAAATTGAAAATTATTTAAAATTAATGCCTTTTTCATCTATATAGATAAATTTACTGCAGTTAATAAATGCAATTTACTTTATAAATAATAGCCTGTATCTGTAACACATTGTAATTTATGATTCTTTCAATTTAAGCTCCTTTTAAGGTCTTGATTGCTCCCAATGCATATTTTATAACTTACATATTTACGATCTAATTTACCTTGGAAAAACTATAATTTTCCATTTTTTTTTCTAATAAATTATACAAATTTGTAATATTTATGAATGAAGGAAAAGTTATTTTTTTTTTATTTATTTTCCAATTTTCTATATTTTATTTCAAAGTTTTTCTAATTTAAGGTAATCTTTATATTTGCAGTTTAAAATACTTCTTTTGATGTTTTCGCTCGATTAGTTGTGTTATTTTTACACACTGCCATTCACGTGCAAAAGAACTATTGTCAATGGATTTGGTTTCAAAACCAAGGAATCGTATCTTATTTCCACCTCATTCTTAGAGAACAAAACTACAAGAGAGAGAAAAAAACTATTTTTATTTTCAATAGGCTACTTCCAAACAAAAATTTTCTGTGAAAAAAAAGGTGAATTTCATCTAGGATTATCCACATCCGACAAATTCAAATTATTATTAAATAAACAACAATTTTTTACCAAATTATACAAATAATTAATGCCAATTATTTGAACTAAAGCAATACCTCTTATAGTGCGGCTTCAATCAGTCCGGATTCTCTTTAATCCAGTTTGAAAATTTCAAGTTTTACTTCAGCATTTCCATTTTTTACTATTTACTTTCATAAGTTTTGAAATTACTCGATTAGTCCGGTTTCAAACAATGCGTTTTTCTCATTTAAATTTACTTACCGGAAATATACAGAAGTTGGTCAACCGGAAATGTAAGATAATCTCTTGATTTGATTGATCCTGTCTTCACCTAAATTACTGTAACAGTAAAAGTAAACATGATTATTATAAAACATAACATTTCTGCTTTTTTCTTTAAATCTAAATAATATATTTTTAAATTTTCTAAATGTATGATTACTGTTTGTACGTGTTACAGCAAAATAACGAGCTGTTCACAATGTCAAACAGTTAAAAATAATTGATTAGAAACGAGGTAAATACATACAATTTACTATACAAATGCAAACGGAAAGCGTGAATTATTCGACGCTCAAAAAATGACTGTAATAATTACGAAAAAAAAACGGAAATAAATCATCAATTTGAATAGAAAAAAAACTAAATGAATAACAAACAGAGATTTTTAAACGAGATTATTAGATTCATAGTAATAAGTGTTAAGCATTTTTTTCTATTAATCAATTTGAAATGAAAGTAAATGCTACAAATGTTTTGTATTATTTCAAGAATAAGGAGTTTTTCATTAATTATACTTATTTTTAACTCTCATTAATTTACAGTTAAATTTAATGAATATTTCGGTAATTCAATGTTAAACTATAAAATTGTTTTCTTTGATTAACAAGAACAGAAAACATTTTTAACAGTTTTTCTTATTAACTATTGATATTTACCTTAATAATATTTATTAATTTCTGTTTCTTTACAATATACAATTGTATATGTATATATTTCACGGTGCTGTTTTCTTTGCAAGTGTATATTTGCACTAAAAGAGACTTAAAAATGTCTACTAAAACAAATCTAGTATCAAAAATCAGTCGCATTTGTAAATGCAATTTTTTATTCATTACAATATCTTATCTATTAACTTTCATTCATTCAGGTTAAAATAAACACTGCGTCTTTATTATACGCATTTAAAATGGTTAAATTTAATGTAGAATTTATATTTACTATAGATTTAAAAACTGTCAAAAGGTTTAGTAACTGTCAAATCTACTTTGTGAAGATACTAAGGCTTGTTATTTGGTTGATATGGATACAATAAGGTTACTAGTAATATCATGAAGTTGCTAAGGAACTTTACGTCTTTATTATTTTATTATATGTCATATGTGTTCTAAAGTTAACTTTAAAGCTGTCAACTTTCATTCATTAACATTCAAGTGAAAACTACGTCTTTATTAGTGTATTATACTTATTTAAAATGGTTAAATTCCCTATAGAATTTATATTTACCATGTATCACTAAAGCCAACTTTAAGACTGTCAACTAGTTTCAACTTGTCACATATACTTCAAGAGAATTATACTTGTTATGTGGTTACTATGGATATACTTAGGTTACTAACCACATGTGAAATGAAGTAATTACGTATTTCTCAACTACAAATCATCAACATTATAATTCTATTGTTGACATGTGTTTACTAATTATGTCGGGTTATTGCTTAAGCATTAAGCTAAAGCTAAAGTCATGTAGTTACTATAAACTTATGAATATTACTAATAAATTTGGGTATTAAATGAAGAAACCCGCCTTCAGTAGTAACACTGAAATCATGTCATTGCTAAAGATATCTTAAGATTTCTATTAAAAGTATGAAGTTAGTAAAGCTAATTAGACCTTAATATTACTACTTAAGTTAAGTTACTACGGTTTCTAAGGATGTTCTACTTATGTCAATAGATCTCCTATGTAATTACTAGATGTCTTTTAATAGTGATACTCTGGGGAAACTACAAACTTGACTCAATTGATTCTTAGACAATATTACTATTGTTGTGATACAGTTGCTATGGTGTACTCAAACTTATTACTTTTTCTGGTAGCTAGATTTATTTTTAACTAAGTTCGAAATTAAGTTAACAAGTTTATTACAAAAAATTTAAATCTTCATAGTAGTATATATACTATAAGTCACATAGTAACTAATTGTTGGTAAAAGTAAGTTTATTTTTTATTTTACTGGAAATTTCTCGCATTAATATTTGTTTACTTATTTGCATTTAATTTATATTAAGTTGGGCAACAATTTTAAAATTAAATGTTTTTATGATTTGTTTCTGTACTAATTAAATTTAATATATAAATTTGTAAACGAATTGAGCAAAAGTTTCGAGTAAATTACTTTTAACAAATTGCTATTTTTGGTTAGGGTTGAATTTTATGTTTATTGGAGTACTTAAAACCATTTTGTGTGAATGTGAAATCTGGGTATTACCTTTATTGGTCAATAAACGGTCTTTTATTGCCGAGGATTTGTCTTTATTCCTTTAGACCCACCAATAAAACGTGCAAAAAAAAAATCCCGTTGTCTAATCCACCGCAAAATTCGCAAATTCGAACGAAAGAAGAAAAAAACCCTCATCCGTCGTAATCCTCAAAGCGATCCCGCGACATGCAGATCACCCGAACCTCCGGATTTGGCACGCAACGGACCCGGGTGTCCTAGCAACAACATAAAGCCATTGTTCTGATGCTGTGCAGGTGTC